TAGTAAAATATACATGGTAAATGACATTTATATATAAATATTCAACATATTGCTTTCCTGGAAGGGCACTGGACCCATTGTATATTTCTCCAAAATAGTAAGTACTAATTTCCTGAAGCTATCAGGATAAATATGTGGTTTTACAACAAAGAAGATTCCAACAATCAGACAAACCTTGACAGTCTTATCACCACAAATGTCACAATACAGCCTAGATAACAATTTTGCTGATACATTTAAGGACACACACTGAATGAATGAGAGTATTAAGTCATTTGATAATTTCATTCAGAATTAATGGCTATATAAATGTGAGTTGATAGATGCAACAAATCTTTTTCATTAGGTTTATTTTGAAATAGTTTAAGGTTTTCCCTATGTTGTGTTTTAATGTGTGTCTGAAGCATGCTTTATGTAAATTGCTAAGGACTGTCCTTGCAGTTTTGAGGAATAAAAACTTAGAATAATTCATAAATACCATGAAAAAAATTATGTATTATGATCAAAATTTATGCATTTTTGTTTTTAATGATTTGACAATTTTTTGAAGGTATGCAATTGGAAAGAATTCATTAACAATAGATAAAGTCAGAATGAATGTCGTGTTACAACATATTAGTGATTTTTCCCATTGATGATATAAAATATATGACACTTGCCCTTAAAAGAAAGGGTTTGTTGTTACATTACATATCCCTATCCTCATTGTTAATTCGTATTATTTTGTCTTGAAACCCCGTATCACTTTAAGTATTCTTGCTTGATTTGTTTATGTTCATGATATTGGTATGCTGCTACTGTTCTATTTTTTGTCTGTTTGTTTCTGATTTATTACTCTCTTTTATTATTTATTTATTACTAATAAATAAATAATATTTACTTTTATTTATTTATTACTAATTTTATTTATTTATTTATTTATTATTTATTTATTACTAATCCTAGCAAAAAAAAAGAAAGGGTTTGCTTTGTTTCGCCGTTTTAGAACTCAGTCCGTGATCACCTACACCAAAGAGCAAATAGCCTGGCAGAAGGGCTTGATGGATGAAAGCTGATAAACCCACTGCAATCAGGAGAGAAAGAGAGAGAGGGAGAGTCAGAAAGTGAGAGAAAGAGAGGAAGGGGCCCAGGATGCATCCTTCGTATGCATCTCATTTCCTCCAAGCAGGGCCCAGCTCCTTCCCAGCAGCACCTTCAGTAGGAATGGGTTCATCCACTGATGAGTTCAGTGCCCCATGATTCAAAAGCCCCATCTCTGATCACATAAACCTGTTGGGAATGTGCTGGATCAAACGATAAAAAATAATATGAGTGATGAACAAGAGGTCGTGCCTGTTATAACCTGAAGTGGTAAAAATGCATGAGATTAAACATTTGTGTTGGGCTGGGGATTTAGCTCAGCGGCAAAGCACCTGCCTGGCAAGTGCAAGGTCGTGAGTTCGGTTCCCGGTACCGGAGAAAAACCAAAAAAAAACCAAAAAAACAAATAAACATTTGTGTTGTCATTGAAAAGTGAGTAAAATTTAGAAAGACAGGAAAGGGTCAAGAAACAATTTCCGGATGAAGAGCATTAAGAATGAAGGCAAAGGCCAGGCGTGGTGTCCCATGCCCATAATCCTAGCACTCGGGAGGCTGAGGAAGCAAGATTGCTATGAATTTGAGGCCAGCCTGGGCTACATAGTGAGTTCAAGGCCTGCCTGAATTACAGAGCAAGACACTGTCTCAAAATAAAAAGAAAAGAACCAAGTGACATTAAAGCCATAGAAATGAGCCAAATTTGAGACACTCTAGGAACTACTCCATCCAGCACAATATGTACCCTTTTGGTGTGTCTTACCAGTTATTATAACAGTACATATTTTTATGAATCACACATTTCACCTTAAGTCATATTTTAACACTATTATTCTTCTTAGATGCAATGCAAAAATCAAATGCTAACCTCCAAAAACAACAGCAAGGGTTGTACTTATAAACATTGGAAAATATTTACATTAAAATTTGAATTGGAAAATGTTAAATCTCTGAAAATTGGAAAATGCAAATGAATCTGGCAGTACCAGTATTCATTCTTGCTTCCTTCCTAAACAAAGAATATCCTGAGTCTTTATTTGACACACTACTCTTGGTCACCATGGTATTTCTCAACTCCTCTTTTAAGTGGGTTTATCTATGTGACTAGGTCCTTACTAAAGGGATAAAGGTGAAAGTACACTTTATTACCAACAGGCAGTGTTCTTTGAGTTAAGAATTATCCTTTCTCCTTCCGTATATTTTTGGCTAATGGCAAAGTGGAGGTGAGGGATAAATTGGAACCATTCTTTGAGACCTGTTAGGAAGTTGTGTGTGTCACAAAAGAACAGCAAGAAGTTTGCTTCTGTGACCAGCCATATAACCTCCCCAAATCATCTTCTGCTTTAAAGAGACATGATGTGTGTGTGTGTGTGTGTGTGTGTGTGTGTGTGTATACTCATGTAGAAACACATGTGTGTGAGCCATAGCTAAATCTAATTATAATTAGAACAGGAGGTTAAAAATGATTATGCTGAAGTCTGCCTATATGCATACTTGGGTCCATGAAAATGCTGATTATATGTTAGGAACTATTTTCTTTGAGAAATAAATGCATGTTTTCATCATAGGAAAAAACTCTGAGAGAATTACACTAATCATAATGCTTAAGGTTATAATAAGGTTATATTTACTCTACTGTGTTCAGTTGTTAAAAATGTGATTATATGCATTTTTCTCTAAGCTTATATGTTATATTCTATAGATTTTCTGATTTTCTTCTTTGCAATAACATTCTTCCTTCAATGTTCTGTACATGTCTGCTTTGTGATACAGCTTGTATTAGCTTCTTTTGTCTCTTTGCCAAGACAAAATATCCAACACCTGAAGTTAAAGGGGGAAAGATTTATTTAGCTCACAGGTTGTGCAGATTTCAGTTCATAAGCAGCAGGCACTGAGGCAGGGTAGCTTCACAGTTCAGAGTGGCCAGAAGGTAGCCAAACCATCAAGGGAGGACCACAATCCATTGTCTCCCTTATATCTTATCCAGACTACTCACATCCTTAATCCTAGTGCCTATGAACCTAGCATTGCATGAATCAATCTCAGTGGCACAAAATGTAGATCCAGCCACCTTCAGAAATCCTCACCTATGAGCACATGAAGCTTTGGGGGAACATCTAAACACAAGCTTTAACAGAGCTCCATCTGTGTTTTGGACTGGATATAACATCTGTGCTAATATTTTAAATGCATGTCTTCTAAGATCTCTAAAAATGATTTTAAAAATAGAACAGAAATTTCTGTTCCCCTTAAAACATATTAATAGTGTTGTGCAAACAGAAATCTTTAGGAAAATATTAAAAATTTCATAGTAAAATATATAATGTCCATTTACATGAAAAATTCTCGTCAATGTTGTATGTTTAATGCCTAAGGTAATAAACATAACGTCATACATTCAAATCTTGTAAAGTACATCCAAGTAATACAAATTCAATACCCACATGTACACATATATTACACATTAGCATATGCATATATGTATTTATTTCTTTATCACATACATGTATTCCCATAGAGAGCCCTGAAACTTAATCAGGAAGATGATGACTTTTCAGAAGACTACCACAAAGCTTTAGGTTGCAGTTTCCTAGAGCTCCAGCATAACTGGGCTAAATAAAGAAGCAAATTTATTCATTGAAAAGTATCTCCCCTAAAAAGTACTTTTTAGCCCAGAGTAGACAGTGAGTTTTGTGTACGAGTGTTACCCATCATTACTCGGAAAACAATATATCATCTTTGGCTTTTCATGACAATACAGAACTCATATTAATTGCAATAGTGAGAAAAAGATAATGTTACATCTGAGTTTCTATGAGATGGTTGAGGGGGTAAAAAACAAAAAATGATTTCTTTGGAATAAGAGAAAATGAATACACAATTCTTAGGAAAATGGGGAGGTAGAATCATCCCCAAAATGTGCAGCAGGGATAATTACATGCACATATGTAAAGCATTTATAGTATATGCAGTCTTGGTTATTACTGTAAATGCTGTCCACTACATTGATATCTCCATGAGGGTAAGAACTACTTTACCCTGATCATATGCTCCAATATTTCTTAATATAATTCTATACAAGTAGTAAGAATTCAGAGTTATATTGGTATATTCCACGTGGTTAACATTACTTGCTTTAGAGAACACACTTTCAGAAATGTTTGGCAATAATTTAGTTAAGAAAACCACACAAATGAAATTGTCAGGATACTTATCATGTATATTTCTTACCACAATAAGGTAAATTAGCCTTGCATAAATGGAGCACATTTACATGTATTAAAAAAACACACATGGAAGACTTCACATAATTTTAAATATTATTCAGTTTACTCTGGGTGAAGAGATTCTGGGACATCCCAGAAGTCACATTCTTTGTGTCTGATCTGAGGTTCAAGTGCTACTCTTGACATTTGTCCTCCACATAAACTGGTACTAGGAAGAAGCTCATAATTTGTCAACATACATGGTTGCCTGAATGTTTCTCCATCAGAACCATGGAAATTATAAATTTTTGTTTAACCAGAATACTCATTTTCTCAGATGTGATGGTCATACTTGATTGTCAATCTTAATAGACTAATGGATACCAACTGAGTTCATTTGATTATCAGGTTGTTAACCTCATCAGTGTATGAACCACTAACAAGATCATTGCTAAAGGTCTGTCAGGAGTTTGGCCTGGTATTAGAAGTAGGTCAGTGGAGATGAGTCTTTGAGGTTGTGCCTTTGCTCCTTTTCTCTCTTATCTCTGCTTCCTGAGTCCGTGAGGAGAGCAGTGTACTCAACCACTCTCCACCATCATAGCCTTCTGCAACGAAACTAGTGAACCATGGGTTGAAAACACTGCATCCATGAAGGAAAACAAATGATTCTTCCTGTGAGTTGACCTTGTAAGTATTATGAGCACAGCATCAAAAACTTCACTAATTCAACAGTACACTTTTCTTGTCAAAGAACTTTTTAAAGGCAACTTTTACATCCTTATTCCTGAGACTGTATATTAGGGGATTCAGCATAGGGACGATAATAGTGTAAAACACAGATGATACTTTCCCTTGGGGCACAGAGTTGACTGATGCAGGCTGCAGGTACATGAATGCAAGAGAACCAAAGAAGACAGCAACTGCTGAGATGTGGGAGCTGCAGGTGCTGAAGGCTTTGGACCTGCCTGCAGCAGAGCGAATGCGGAGAATGCTGGCTATGATGAAGATGTAGGAAGTAAGTATAGTCAGTGTTGGGAGAAAAATATTAAAAGCACTTAAGCACAGAAGGACTACCTCATTGATAAAAGTACTGGAGCAGGAGAGCTCCAGGAGTGGGAAAAGGTCACAGAAGTAATGGTTTATTACATCAGCCTTGCAAAAATCCACTCTCAGCATGCAGACTGTGTGAGCAGTGGAACCAATGAAACCCATGCTGTACACCCCAGCTACCATCCAGCAACAGACTTGAGAAGACATGGTAACATTGTAAAGCAAGGGGTTACAGATGGCAACATAGCGGTCATATGCCATGGCAGCCAACATGTGACATTCTGAGATAATAAAAAACACAAAGAAGTAGAGTTGAATCATGCACTCAGTGTAGGAAATGGTGTTCTTTTCTGTCACAAAGTTCACCAGCATCTTGGGGGTAATGACAGTCGAGTAGGACATGTCAATGAAGGACAGACTGCTGAGGAGATAGTACATGGGGATGTGCAGCTGAGAACTAAGCCCAATCAGGGTGATCATGCCCAGGTTCCCCACCACTGTGAACACATAGATCCCCAGGAAGAGGAGGAAGAGTGGCAGCTGGAGCTCTGGTTTGTCTGTTAACCCAGCAAGGATGAAGTCTGTCACAGTGGAATGATTTCCTTCGGCCATTTCCTTCTGGGAATTTCATGAAAGAGAGAAGAAGAGAGTTGTGACACTTAGTTTTTGTAACATCACACTATGAATGTAAAACATAATTCTGCTGTTTTCATCCTCTTTTCTCCAATTCTCAGCCTGATTTTTATATCAGTCAGCTGTCAAAGACCATCAGATCTCAGAAATATGAGACATGCAAATAAATAGCAAGTAGAGCTATTTATATTTTTCTGTGCCATATATTGATTATTAGTTGTATCTTGTTCCTCAATATAAGACAAGAGTCAGCGCTTCTTCTTTTTTTAATCACATAACTTTTATATAGAAAATATAATGAATCTATTAAAAAACTATGAAAACTGCATAAAAAGTTAATGAAGATGGTAGAATAGAAGATAAAAAAAACTCTATTGTAATTCTACACACTTAAAATTAACAGTAAAACTCCATTTGTAATAGTATCTAAAAAAGAATAACGTGCTTAGGAGTTAATTAAGGAAAAGAAATGCATAGCATTGTACATATAATTATTAAACATTGTTAAGTGGAATTAAAATTCTTCATAAATGGACAATCATACCCATGAATGAAAAAAATGCAACAGTGTGAAAATTTTAATATGTCTGAAAATGATCTACAAATTCAGTGTCATCCTAACAAAATCTCAGCTGTGTTATATGCTGATATTGACAGCTTAATTACAAAATTGAATGAAAATATAAGAATCCAGAGTAATACTAGCAAATGTAAAATGTATCGGAGACATTTCATATTTTCCCTTTTGAAAAACATACTATGAAGTTATTGCGAGCAAGACAGTGTGGTAATGGAATTCAATGACAAATTATAAACTCACATGTTTAATAACCTGAAATGCTATAGTTCACTTGGGATTCAATGCTGTTTTTTCAACAAATGCTGCTGGGACAATTAGAAGAGTAGAAGTAAAAGATTAATTTGGACCACACTATCAGATCATCCAGCATAATTTATTCAAAATAGATCATAGGACTAGATGTAATAGCCATTTTGTAACAATATCAATATAGTAACACAAGACTAAGGTACATGTGACCCTTTATTTGGGAAAGGATTCTTAGAAAATATGTCAAAACCAGAAACTTTCTTAAAAAAATGAACATGAAAATTGAAAAATTTTGTCAAGAACACTATATATGAAACTCTGTATCATTTCTAATGGGATTTTTTTTGTTTTTTATTTTTGATTCTCTTTTTTTTCTCTTTAATGGTTTGATCAATCTTTCATTTTTACATCTGGTAATCTAAGCAACTCCACTGAAGATAACAGTATGTAATATGACAACCACTGCTAATTTCTATCATTTTGTTCTGAAACCCTGTATCATTTTTATTATTTTTGCTTTGTTTTTTGTCTATGTTGTTGGTATTTTGCTATCATTCTTTATTTCTATTATTATTATTCTCATTAAAATAAAAAAATTTTAAAAAAGAAAATTGAAAAATTTGGTAAAGAACAATATGTAGATCGTGAAAAGAAAACACACAAAAAAGGAAAAATTATTGCAAATATTATATCTGAAAAATAACTTACAGTTAGTATTCACTAAAAATAAACTTTTAAAAGTTAGAGGTGAAAAGGACAGATAGCCAAATTTTAAAATGTTCAAAGTATCTTCTCCTTAAGATAAGTGAATGACTGATAAGTATGTGACAATGTTTGTATCAGCCTTGATTTTTAAATTTTTTTGGTACTGTGTGAATCAAACTCAGGACCTTGCGCTTGCCAGGTGGGTGCTTGTGCCACTGAGTTATATCCCCAACCCTTCAGCCTTGATTATTAAGGAAATTCAAAACAAAAGCACAGTAAGATAACATGTTACATTCCTCAGAAAGATTTTAATCAAAAGAAAAATAAAAATAAGTGTTGGTAAGAATGTGAAGAAATAGTAATGATTAAATAAAGCTGGTAGTATTGTAAAATAGTCACACTGCTAGGAAACAAACTGGCAGTTATTAAAAATATGAGAAAGAGTTATAATATGATCTGTCAATTTCACTTCTAGGTACATTTCAAAAAGATTAGAAGATATAAATCCCCACAAAAACTTGTAGATGAGTATTCAGAGCAGCATTACTTATAATACTCACAGAAGAATCCATATAATGCCCATCCAATAATGAGTGCAGAATCAAATTGTAGAAATATCAATCAAGCAGAATTCCGCAGTAAAAAGGGAAAAAGTAATGAGTTTGCCACACTCTAAATGAGCCTAAAACATGTGAGATGTGAGAAACCACACACAAAAGTTGTCCACCGTCAGAATCAACTTATTTGATTCAGAATATGCAAATTTGTAGAGTCAGAAAACTGTTTGGTGCCTTGTCAGCAGCCGTGAAGAGGAGACACTGGATAGGACTGCTTAACGTTGTGGAGCTTTACTTGGCTTGGTATTAAAAATAATCCTCAAGTTGAACACAGTTATGTTTGTGCAACGTCATGAATTTATGGAACAATCCCCCATTGATTTGTAAACTTGAAAGTGGTGAATTGTGTCATTTACAACTCAGTAAAAATGTGCAGTAAGTCTTAAAACCACAGGAAAATTATAATGATACCATACTGAACACAAAAACATTCCATGAGAACATATTAATTTGCATCCATTTTGGAAGACTTACTCATCCAGATTTTGCCTAGTGTATTTCTCTATCTTTATGACAAATGTGATCATTAGATTTTTCTCTAAGAAATGTGGCATCCCTCCATACGCACACACAAACACACAAACACACACACATACACGACCATCCCACTAGCTGCTTGTGCTGTCACAGCCTGCCTTATCTTTGGAATTTTGACAGCAGATGTAGGCCTGTGACTCATCTCATCTGACCAACTCCCTACAAATTATGAATGGCGTATATTCTTCCTTCTCCTTGCTTCCTCTGCTGCTCTGATAACTACACCTGGGTATTAGAATGCCTTTCATCATTGTGCAGTTTTCTCAAATATCTTGATCTGAGTCAGTTTTCTGTGCTTCTCTTATTCATGTCCATGTTAGCGGTGAATGAATCATAAGCAAAATGCCAAAACTTTTGAGGCAACTAAAGGGTTTATTTATTCTTTTGCCCTTTTTTAAAAATAATTTTATTGAGGTAGGACAGTTTTTTTAGTCAAAGAAATGCACATATTTAGTATGCACAGTGTAATCAGTTTGGATATATGCAAACACTAATGATACCACCACCACAATCAAGGTGATCAATATATGTATCACCTCCCAAAGTGTCCTTGCGTCCCTCAATACTTAATATGAGCTCTACCATCTTAAATTTTGAACCATAGAACACCATATTGATAATTCTCTGCAGAAACTCTGCTGTCCTGTACAGAATATCTTTAGAATTTGCTCATCTAATAGAACAAAAAGCTTAAACTCATGACAAAACTCCTCCATGTTTAGCCTCACTGATTGGCCACTGGTGGCTAGCATTCTGTTCTCTGCTTTATGAGACTGCCTATTACGCGTGCCTCATATAGGTAGAATAAACCAGTATTGCCCTTCTATGGCTCCTTTCATTTATGATATTATCTGTTGAGGTCCTGCATGTTATTTCAAATAAAAGATTTCCCTTGAGGAAAAAATACCTTTAAATTCCTATGTAAAAAATGATAACTCAAAATTATCACAAGTTTGGTTAAGTAGACCCAGAATTTTTGTTTCAGTAAAATTTTACTAGTTTGATAGAGCAAAAACAGTGGGATAATCATAGGTTTTCTAGATTCATAAATATATTTATTAAATTAGGTTTATAAAAATATTTATTAAATATTTCAAAGTCCTGGAGACAACACAGAGTTATGTATTTTAAGTAAAGAGTACAAAAGAACATTTCCCAGTCAGGTGAACTTAGGGAGCATCTAACAATTCATCAGAAAGTCAAAATTCTTCATTCTTTACTCCAGAAGACATTACACACACAGTATTTTCTTGAAAATGGCATTTTATCAGTAACATGTGATTTAATACAAGTAAAACTGAAATTTAGAGAAAAAACTAATAAATGCTTGTATGATGAATACTATCCAATAAAATATTTTAGGCTATGCAATGGGAATATATTAAAATTTCAAAAATTACAATTGAAACGTTCCTGATGCCATTAGGATAGATACAAAGTACATAGACTCCTTGCTCCTCTATATGTTTCAGTCCAGAAGGGACAAGAAGGTGGACTAGGCAACAGAATAAACGTCTTTTTAGGAGAGGTCCTACAGGAACATAGGTATTGTAGTGAGAATGCAGAGTAGGGACAATGAAAGGTTTTGAAGACAAAGAAGTTTTCCATTTTTCTCCTAGCACTTATAACAGCACATAGCTATTGCCCCGAAGGACCTTCGGCACGCCCTCAACTGTAATTTGTAACATGTCTGCAGTTTCTCTTTCCTTTCTTCTTTACCCCATGAAATCTTATTTAAAAGTTAAGGCTCTTTAGTTAAGATCTTTCAAAGTGACATCCCACTTAAAAATTCCACTTTCTATCTGCCCACGAGCGTGTTCATTATGTTCATATGTGGCACACAATTAATTCTGTATTATCCTGAGTGGTATTACCTTTGCTTCCACAGTAATTATAAATTCAATATAGTGCTAGTTATACTGTGTGCTATAGGAAGTCTCTATAAGATATGTTGATAAAATAGTTTGGAGACCGTTAAAATAAATTAACATAAATTCAAACCAACTGAACAAAGCCTCCACAATGCCTTAGTTGAAATGAGTAAAAAAAATAATTATTTGCTGTAATTTTATATTTCAGGGGCAAAGAGATATTGAGGGAACCTGGACTCATCGGGGAGTGTGGCTTTTCTACTGAGGATAAGTAGATAGAGAAATAGTCCTGAGCATCTTTATTAGCACTGGAGAGAAACTGCAGCTAATGATTCCAAGGTTTTAAAAGTTATAGTCTGAGACTCAGACATACCCTCTTTCTTCCCAGAGAGATCAGTTTTGGATATTTTTCTTCTCCATTGATTG